TTGAAAATAGGGCCATTGCAGATGTATTAGTTAAATTAAGGTGAAGTCACATTGGAATGGGATGGGCCCCTAATCTAATATGATTGGTGCCTTTATAAAAAGGGGACATTTGGATACAGACATGCACAAAGGGATAACACCATGTGAAGATGAAGGCAAAGATCGGGAACACCAAAGATTGCCAGCAAGCCACCAAAAGCTCTCAGAAGGAACCACTCTACTGAAATCTTGATCTAGGGCTTCCAGCTTCCTGAGCTGTGAAGCAACCAATTTCTGTTGTTTAAGCCACCTTGTTATAGCACCAGCAAACTAATAAAGTGGGTATTCTTATGATCCCCATTTTAAAGATGGGGCAGCTGAGGCACACAAATTTATCTATTATATCAAGTGAGAGACACCTATTGACTTACTGTTCTAGGAAAATAACCCTGGCTTTCCCAGGCATCTAAGGCAGGTGAGTTTTAGCACTCACTCACATGTGTGATTCTGTGTGCTGAAAATGTGAGGGTAACCATTTTTGTCTTTTGAACAATGGCTCTGAACAGTTCTTGCTTTCCTCTGGAGAGCAAGAGACCATCAGCTGAGGGACTGACTCTTGGCACCTCCTTCAGAGATACCCAAGTGTCCGGCCCTGCTACCCTGGCCTTAACTACTAGCATCTCTGTGCAGAAGCTGAGGCCCACCCTTCTCGGTTCTGACCAGAGGGGGGCTGTCTTTGGGGAATAGGGGGTTAGCATCTGATTATCTAAGTAGGGCCCTCCAGGGTGTTCTTGTGAAGGAAGCTTTTAAATGTAAATTTGATTGATTTGCTATTATTGCTTGTATTCCTCATCTTCCATGGGTCCTCTGGGAAGAACAGAAAGATCTCCATTCTTTCTTGATAAATCAATCCTAGAAACCCTGGTTAAAAAACCGAGACTGTCTATTCAATTCTTTCAAAGCAACAACAAAGTGTTTCTCATGGCTGCCTCTGTTTACTATAAAATGTGTTTTGAAGATTGAATGTTCTTGGAATTGCTACACAGAGAAACTCATGTGTAGAGCTAGCTTATAGAATAACAGCAGGAGATTCTAGTCAAGAGGGTCAGTTGAAGATACAAAGCAGACAGGCCTTTGGTAAGAGACAGACATCTGCCTTCCTGCTGATCTCAGTGGGCTGCAAAGCACATGGTTCCAAATTGCTTCCCACCGGCCCGAACGAGACCCTGAAATCCCACTGGGACAGAGCCAGTCATTTGGGTAATTTCTCAACATGGCATTAAAATGTAAATGCCCATCCCGCCAACCCAGCAGCTGAAATTTCTCCTGGAGTACTCCTTGGCTAACCATGAAGATGCGGAGGTGGGGTCTCAGATCCTAGAGAGGGAAACAGAGCAGTGTGAGGGCCCAGGCCACCACAGGAGAGGATACAGAGGAATCTGGGAGGAAGGGAAACAGAAAAGCCCCCTGGAGGGAGGTGGAAGGTCAGAGAGCTGTTTCCCCACCCCGGGGAGCAAGCAGCCAGGAGGCAGTGCTGGGGACTGAAGGAAAGCACAGGCTTTGGCACCACACGGACCTGGGTTTGAGTCAGAGCTCTCCCATCTAAGCCTTCTGTGTTCTTGGCAAATTATTTAGCCACTCAACCTACATTTTCACACCTATTTAATAAAAATAATACCAGATTGCAGTACTTCTTAGACGTTTTTTAAAATTATTGCTGCCATAAGGAGCCTTTTTAGACATACTTTTTTTTTGCCCCCCACTATTAAATTTTAACACCACAGACATGCTGTATATCTGCTTATATATTGCACATATATCTGTGCTTTACAAATAAACAAAGTAAGATTATTTGTTCCCAAGAATCATTTTCACCCTTGGTGGCAATATTGCCCTTCTATGGAACGAATGTTTGTGTTCTCCCAAAATTCATACGTTGAATCTCTACTATGATGGTATTTGGAGGTATGGCCTTTGTGAGCCTAATGCTGGGGTTAGTGTTCTTATAAGAAAAAGAAGACAGCTAGCCTTTCCCTCTGTGCTATGTGCCTTGTGAGGAAACACAATAAGAGGGTGCATACCAGACACCAGATCTTGGACTTCCCAGCCTCTGAATCTATGAGAAATAAACATTTGTTGTTCAAACCACCCCATCTATGGCAATTTGTTCTAGCAGCCCAAGCTAACCAAGACACACTCCATTGATATGCATGCCATACAGGGTTGTTGTTAAAGAGTAAATGATAGACTGTAGATGAAGTTCTTAGCACAGTGCTTGGCAGCAGGGGTGATACTCAAAGTATTTAACAATAGACTCTACACTGGCACCAACCCATCAAACAAGGGCACTGCCCATTTAGAACAAATAAGTGCTCTAAACAACTAGTCATCCGCACCAGCACTTAGCCTATCTGGTAGATTAAATGATAGGTCACAATTCTTCCCTCTCCTGTAGAGGCAGTGTACACCCACGCCTCGCCCTGGCCTCATGGTTGGTGGACGCCCTTCCCCACTCCTCACTTTGGGGCTTGCTTGTGTGCCGGCTTTGGCCAATGGATGTTAGGTTACTCTCAACTAGAACTTTTAAGTCTTTTTTATAATATTGCTGTTAATCTACATGTCATGCATGCTATTCCTATGCAAGTGAGTTTTTGGAATCAAAAGTCAGTCTTTATTTACAACTCTTTTAATTCTAATCATATTAGATAGTACCAAATCTAACTAAACTGGACCCTTCCAGTGTTAACATTGTATGAATTAGTAGTACTAGTAGTGGTTTTAGTATAATAGTTCCAATATTTATATTATTAGTACTGGAAAGGAGTTTGGGAGGAAGTGAAAGATGGAAGGAACCTGGAGGGATGGGCGTAGTGTGCAGCCGCACCATGAACTGAGCATTTACTATAAAGCAAGCACTACAACAATCCCACGAGGCAGGGGCTTCTCAGGTGCAGGTGTCTCAGAGGCTTGGCGAGGTTAAGTAGCGTTCAAAATCATATGGTTCCTGAGTGGTAAAACCAGGAATTGCTCTGGCTCCAAAGCCCAGGCCTGCAAGTTCCTGTAGCAGAGACACTCTCCCAGTTTCAGGCTGACGGGTGGCTCACCTGGGTCTATCTCTATCTGGCTAGTTCCTGTAAACCACTCACGTCTGGCATTAATACTCAAGTCAAGAGTTCATCATTGCTCAATCATAGGTCTTATCTGGTTGCTTCTTCCAAGACGCACGTTATCCCAATGGAGGTGGGACAAAAGTCACCCAGCACTGGGAAGCAGGGACTTGTTGGTGGAATAATTTATTCACAGTTCAACTACAGTCCTACTATCCTGAGGAAGAAGGATCTGAGTAGGACACACAGAGGGCCTTAGAGAAAGGAGCTCCTCTGGTCGCATGAACATCACAAAGGAACTCCCTCTGGGAGGGTCAATTGGAAAAAGGGCCCTTTCTCCCAGCTGGCCAGGACACTGCCTTTGTCCCACTTCAGTGGAATGTAGGCTGGAATTCAGAGTCCATTCGTGCCCCCTCGGGCAAGGGCCTTTGTTCAGATCCAACTTGCTGACTGCATCTGGCAGCCATGGAGTGGGGTGAATGGACCTCCCTGAGGTTACCCACCTCACCACCACTCTCACCATCACTAGTTTAAGCCTGCTGACAATGCAGAAATAAGCTCAGAGCCACCTGCTATGGTCTGAATGTTTGTGTCCCCTCAAAACTCATATGTTGAAATCTTAATGCCCAATGTGATAGTATTAGAAGATGGTGCCTTTGGAGGTAATTAGGTCCTGAGAGCAGAGCCCTCATGAATGGGATTATTGCCTTTATTTTATTTTTTTTTTTTAAAGATTTTATTTATTTATTTATTTTCCCCCCCCAAAGCCCCAGTAGATAGTTGTATGTCATAGCTGCACATCCTTCTAGTTGCTGTACGTGGGACTCGGCCTCAGCGTGGCCAGAGAAGTGGTGTCGGTGCGCACCGGGGATCCGAACCCGGGCCACCAGCAGCGGAGCGCGCGCACTTAACCGCTAAGCCACGGGGCCGGACCAAGGGATTATTGCCTTTAAAAAAGAGGCTCCAGAGAGATCCCTTGCCCCTTCCACCACACAAGGACACAGCAAGAAAGCACTGGCTGTGAACCAGGAGAACGGCCTCACCAGAATGTGACCATGCTAGCACCTTGATCTTGGACTTCCTAGCCTCCAGAATTGTGAGAAATAAACTTTTGTTGTTTATAAGCTACTCAGTCTGTGGTATTTTGTTATAGCAGCCTTAACAGACTAAGACAGCACCATATGATAGATAAATACTGTCAACCTTGAGAAAGCACACTTCCTTGAACTACATAAGTCATAGATAGTCATCTTTTCAATGCTGCTGGTTCCTGATGCCTCTCTCTGTCCAGTGTAGACCAGTATAGATAAAACAATTCTGCATATGCTTCCTTGTAAAGTACTACACTGTAATATACTAAAGAGCTGGATTCTGGCACCAGACTTCCAAGATCAAAGCCTGGCCCTGTTCTGTACAAACCACATGACCTTGGATAAGTTAGTTTCTCCCTTATAAAACAGAAATAATGATAGTCCCTACCTCTAAGTGTTGTTGCCAAGATTCAAGTAGTTGTTTCATCTATCATTACATAACAATCCACCCAATTATTAATGGCTTAAAACAACAATCATTTTAAAAATAGAATTACCAATTGATCCAGCAATACCACTCCTGGAGTATATCCAAAAGAAGTGAAAGCAGGACCTTGAAGAGATATTTGTACACCCATGTTCATAGCAGCATTATTCACAATAGCCAAAAGGCAGAAGTAACCACAATGTCTGACAGATGAGTGGACAAACAAAAAATGGTATATACATACAATGGAGTATTATTCAGCCTTAAAAAGGAAAGAAATTCTGACAACACAGATGAACCTTGGGGGACATTATGATAAGTGAAATAAGCCAGTCACAAAAAGACAAATACTGCATGATTTCACTTATCTGAGGTATCTAGAATAGTCAAACTCACAGAAACAGAAAGTAGAATAGTAGTTTCCAGGGACTGCTGTCAAGAGGAAATGAGGAGTTGTTGTCTAATGGTAGAGAGTTTCAGTATTACACGATGAGAAAGTTCTGGAGATTGGTTGTACAGCACTCTGAATACACTTAACACTACTGAACTGTACACTTAAAAATAGTTAAGATGATAAATTCATGTTATATGTATTTTACCACAATTAAAAATAAAAAAAAATAATAAAAATTAAAACCCATTTTCTTGGCTCACAATCCTGTGGAAGGGCAATGTGGGCTGGGCCTTGCCTGCAGTCTGGTGACTCAGCTGGACCTGGCTTGTCCAACATGGCTTCTGAGATGGTTTATGTGTCAACTTGACTGGGCCATGAGATGCCTAGACATTTGTTAAACAGCATTCTGAGTGTGTCTGTGAGGGGGTTTCTGGATGAGATTACCATTTGAATAGGTAGACTGAGTAAAGCAGGTTGCCCCCCCCAATGTGAGTGGGCCTCATCCAATCCATTGAAAGCCTAAATAGAACAAAAAGGCTAAGTAAGAGAGAACTCGCTGTCTCTGTCTGACTGTATTCGAGCTGGGACACCAGACTTCTCCTGCCCTGGAACTCAGACTCGGACTGGAACTTATACCGTTGGCTCTCCTGGTTCTCAGGCCTTCCAACTCAGACTGGAACCAGACCATCAGCTCTCCTGGGTCTCCAGCTTGCCAACTGCAGATCCTGGGACTTCTTAGCCTCCATAACTGCACAAGCCAATTCTTTCTAATAAATATCTTTATAAATCCAGATCTAGATTTATCCTATTGGGTCTGTTTCTCTGAAGAACCTAGACTGATACGGCCTCACTCATGTATCAAGGAGTTGGTGCTAGCTCTTGGCTGGACCTCCCACTCTACAAGGTCTTTCATCCTAGCCCTACGTTCCAAGAGGGTGAGACAGGAAGCAGTGGGGCCTTTTGAGGCCCTGGCTTGCAAGTTGCAAAATATCACTTCCACCATACTCACTTGCTCAAAGAAAGTCACAAAGTTATCCTAGATTCAAAGAGCAGGAAAATAGACTCCCCTTATGGAGTAGGGAGCAGTAGACATCAAAAATACATTGCAAACACGCATGCATAAGCAATGAAGGAATTATTACAATGATCTTCACAAAGAAACTACCACTTATGGTAACTGGAGTAAAGCACTAAGGACACTGCCTAGCATGTAGTAAGCACTCAACAAAGGGCAGTTATTGTTTTGTTGCTGTTGTTGTTATAACTCTTTGAATTCCAGAAATGATTGCCAATTGACAAACTGGAGTTGATTCTGATATCGTTCCAATATATTTCTCCTGATCACAGAGATGAGGAAAAGCCATCAGTCACTAATAGGCATCTATATCTCACAGTCTTTATAGATCTAAACATATAAGATATATATTATATATATATCTCCATCACATAGAGATATATAAGAGTTTGCATATCTAAAGTCTTAAAAAAAGGCAAACCAAAAACTAAAACATGAAGTTGAATAACGCTAATTTCACACTTTTTTTATAAACTGATATAATTCAGTGGTTTACCTAATCATAATTGCATAAAATTAAATTATTTCAAAAAATTACTTGGAATCTAGTATATTGCCATAGGATCCTAAAAGCTCAACTAATAAATAAAAAAACAATTTGAAAATAATATTGATCTTTCATCATGAACAACGTTCAAATATTTTTGCTTCCTTCTTTTCTTTCATCTTATTAAAGCTCCATAATTGCAGTCTTTAAATATAGTAATAACAGAGTGAACACAGATAATGAACTCAGTGCAGAAGAAACTAAATACAATAACACAATAAGATGTGATATGGTTTCAAACTGTTCTTAGGCAATTGTTCCAACTTCTCATCTCAACACTCATCTGTACTCCTTAAGGTTTGAGGAGAGGTCATTGCTGAAATGTCATTGAATTTTCATTAGAAAAAGAAAAAGGAGGAATGCAGCTTTTCTTTCTCAGTCCTGTTGTACTGGGACCTATTATCGTTATAAATAGGAGTATGAGGAAGTTGGAGCTTCTAAGCCAACTCATCTATAAGCAAGTACTAGCCCTTTGGTGACCTGCTAAGCTTAGATCTCCTATTTCCAAATCTTTTAAGGATAATATTTGAAAAGGTTTTCCTTTATACTTTAACATTTAAAAAAAAAAAGCCATTGGCCTTTGATCTCTGTCACAAAGAGGCCCTCTGCTCCGCCCCACTTGGTGCCATGAGAACGGGGTGCACCATTGGGCGGTAATATCTAATGCATGCACTGACATTTAAGAATGTGTTTTACTGCTCTGCCCTTTCCACACGTGGAATGGCAACTAGAGGCCATGGTGCATCTCTCTCAAGCCAGCCCCAGCCCCCTCCAGAGCCAGGAAATGCTAATGCACTCAAAGGAGCAACAGCCACATGGAATCACCCACCTCCAGAGATTAAAAAGTGCTCCTGGATAATATCATTCCCTGCCCAGCCAGGCCCTGTGGAAATAAGCAAAGACCAACCAAATGAGAAGCACAGGCTATTTATTCAGAGCTTACTATGGCAAAGGAGCCAGCCACATCAGTTGTGTTTTGGTAGAGACCCAAAGGCAGGCAGAAGAGCAGGAAAGCTTCATAGTGGAGAAAAGAGAAGGCATTCGGTGTGCCCTGAGTGGAGGCTGTTGGCACAAGGAAGCTGTAGGTGAGCTAACCAGATGTGGGGCATCCTATGTGACTGGTTAGGGGAGATTATTTGGCTTTCCCTGGTTGGTCCTAAGTTGGAAGTGGGAACAAGAATTAGGGAAGTTGTCAGTCATTAATCAAGTCCTGGCCATTTGCAACAGATTATTATAGAAGTTATCGTTTAGCTTCCTGGATTGTTAGCAGATATAAGTCTGACTTCCAAAAGTCTAACTTACAGCAGGCGAGCTGCCTGGGCTGTTTATTGTGGATAAGGGGTTAGTTTCCCGGGCAGGTTGCTGCAGGTCATGGCTCAAAGTTCTATTTTTATAGATGGTCTGGCACCCTGTCCATTTGTATATTCAGTTTCTCAGCCCTAAACGAAAGCAGAGCAGGCGCAGTAAGCCTTAGCCTGGCGAGTCTAATCTGAATCTGATAAAGCCTATCTGAAGGCAGCTCCCTTTCCCAGGCTGCCTCATTCTTTGTTGAGATGTCTATCAACATTTACCACCCAAGAACAATCATCAATGCACAGGGCTCTCTCCCTGACTGGTGTGACCATCTCCAGGCAGAAACCAGTGTTCATGTTGCTTCATTTCAAACTTACAAACTAATATACACCAAACAATTTGAATCTCAACTTATTCTCAGCTAAAATAAAAAGGGTTACACATTTTATGTTTTCTTACAATAGAAATCTAGCACCTCTCATCGACAGAGATAACGTTTTTCCCGGGAGTAAACCAAGTGGGATGTCTGAGGAATAGATCACTAAAAAATAATTTGCAGGACTGACATAATAGTTTCTCTAGAGCTCGGAGACCCACTTCCTAGGGGGTTCTAAAATGTGCTGCTACCATTTGACCCAGAGCACAGAGTAGACAAGGAAATGTGGTAGATTAAGTCAGACATCAAGTGGAGCAGAAATGAATTTGAAAGGGGGCTTTGCATTGGCTCCAAACTGATCTCTCTTTCTGGGGTTACCAGACGACCTACGAATTAACCTGGGTAATACAAGTCTTTAAGGAAAAGAACTGGATTTGAGCCATAAACCTCTCAGGTTAATGCAAGTCAGAGAAGAGCAAGAATGTAAGAGAAGTGTGTGACAGAGAGCTCCACTTTAGTTGGAAGCTTGTTCTTACAGGAGTCATGATTTGATTCACAGTATTACCGAAACCACAAGGCTTTGCTTAAAATTTGGCACTCTTGACCTATAATGTTCTTAAAAATTCCTAAGAGGTAGGCAAACCTCTACGTGATGGTCTATTTCCAACATTTCAGTAGGAAAATCCACCCTTGTCTGGAGCAAATGTATTTTGCTACAATAGGCATCTTTCTGCCTTGCCATCCCAACTTCAATTCTCTTGGGCCTGAAGCATAATTGTGGCTGATTGGTATTTACCTCCGGATACACACTCTGTTAACAAAGTAATGAAATTAAATGTTCCACAAATGAGTACTTGCAGGTTTTAGATATTTTTTTCCCCTGAACACAGATTCTAGAAACCACGTCCCTTACAAAGGAGCTCAGCATGACATTTTCTAAGGTTTCCATATAGTCACAGCTGCAAATCTCTTGCAATACTTCAGATATATACCATATGGTCACATAAGAGCAAATAATACTAGAAATACCCTAATTACTTAGTAGATGCTGATTATCACTGCAATTGAACTTTTAAAAAGAGTAACAAGGAAGTTTTGGAATTTTCTTTCCTAGAGATTTTTAAAATACAGATCAGAAACTCACCTAGTCAATATCAGGGTGACAATTGCTGCTAAAATACATTCCAGTAAGTGAGATTTAAATACGGATATGTGCATGACACAATGACACATTTGCATTTATTCAGAATAAAAATTCTAAATATCTTCTACACTTTTAATTCATTTTGCAAATACTTACTAAGTGCTATCTCTGTGCTGGGTACCAAGTTGGTGATGAAGATACAAAGATGGGTAAATACAGTCCCTGCCCTCAGCACTTCACTGTCTAGTGAGAAATTAAGCTGGACAAAAAAACCAAACAACTAGTTTTAATACTAAGTGATAAATGCCACAAGAGAGATTGATCTTGAAGTTCTCGGGCATCCCAAATGAGAAGGCAATTAACTATTCCGGGAAGGACCTAGGAAGGCTGACATTCAGCCCCAGCACCACCACCATACTGCATGTTTACAGCCAGTGTCCATTTTGATTGATCAGGACCATAGCACTCCGGGATGTCAAGAAAGGAGGCAAAGGAAAGAAGGGCATTCCACAGTACAGAATTAAAATGAAATAGGGATAACTTCTTGAATTTACCTGTCAGTTTGCATCGCCAACTGACATTTTCAGTTGCATCTGGTTTTGA